ACGTACGAAATAAGAGCAAATCAAGAGAAACTAAAAACACACACACAAAAAAAGAAAATATGAATTGAAAGGTAATGATTATGCTTCCATATCCAATATAAATATAAAACAGCGAGCTAAAAGACATCAACATGATGCCACTGAAGCAAATTTTTAAAAGCCTGTCTAAAAAGATACGTTTTTAGTTTGGACTTAAAAAAACGATAACTCAATTATGGACAGTAACTCCAGCGGCAGAGAGTTCCAGAGCCTGGGACCATAAACAGCAAACACACGATTGCCGCATTTTTTTGTATTTTGTTCTCGGGACAACCAGGGACACCTGTTCCGAGAAACGCAGAGCCCTAAGCGGAGTGCACACCACACAGCTGATGCTCATTCCACTAATCAGTTCTCTTACTTATTTAAACCCCTGGCAGACACTCCGTTGCTGATCATGTATACGCCATGCCAACGCTGACAGTTTCTGTGTGGTTGTTTTCATATGTATATTGGCTCACCTGGTTTCAACGCTGACAGTTCCTGTGCTGTTGATCCCCTTTTCTACACCTCTGGCAATTTTCATCTGCCCGTCTTCCTGGTTCAAGCGTCCCTCCTGCTGCCGGCTCATCTGCCCGTCTTCCCGGTTAATGCGTCCCTCCTGCTGCTGGCTCATCTGCCCGTCTTCCTGGTTCAAGCATCCCTCCTGGGTTCCTCCTGGTCTTCTCCTGGGTTCCTCGTCGTCCTGGTCCTCTAACTCTCCTGTTTCCTACAGTCCTCCTGTCTACTCACCTGCCCGTCCTGGTCTCCTCAGTCATCGCTGCCCTACTCTGGTTAATGGACAATACATATACTCAGTACTTTGTTTGCTTTTCTCCAATAAACCACCTTTTTTTTTTTTTTACTAGCACCTGGGTCTGCATCCTAAGTCCTTTTTCTTGTTCTCCCTCACCCCCTGGTGAGGGGACTCAACAATAACAACATCATCTGCATAAAAATAAAAGTGAACGTTGTGCCTCGATATGATTGAGTCAAGAGGAGACATATATAAAGAAAAAAGTAGCGGAGCCAGAATCTAGCCTTGGGGAACGCTAGAAGAAAGAGGGGCAGAGGCAGAGGAAAAGTTGTCAATAACTACCGAGAAGGATCTATTCATCAAAAAAGATGTACAGTAAACCACTGGAACACTGCACCTCTGAGGCCAATGTAATGTTCCAGTTGGAAGAGAAGAACTGCATGGTCGATGGTGTTGAAGGCCGCAGAGAGGTCTAAGAGAGCTAAAATGACAGGGCACTTGGTGTCGAGGTCCATAGTGATATTGTTATGGACCTTTATTAATGCAGATTCAGTACGGGGGTGGGCCCTAAAACCTGATTGAAAATTTTCAGCAACATTCAGACAATCCAGATAGTGTTGGAACTCGTTACAAGTCTGAACTGACCCTTCATTAGACACAACACCAACAGGATTAACAACAGATTTTATAGTCTTAAAAAGAACTCTAGGATGATTACTATTTTTTAAAACAATGTTAGAAAGGTATTTAGTTTTGGCATCTTTTACAGATTTCTGATAGATAACCAGACATCTCTTAAGACGCCCAGAGAGACGTGCAGGCCATCCTTCTTCCATCTACGCTCAGCCTGCCTGCAGCGTCTCCGCAATGCCTGGGTGGTGTCTTTTAACCACAGGGCAGGTTTGTATCTAGAAGTCTGGTTCCTGAACGGTGCGATGGAATCCATAATCGGGGAGCATGTAGAGTCAAATGAGGAGTGAAAAGCATCAGGACATAAAGGAAGCTGCAGGACTTCTGAGGAATAAAAGTCAGAGGCTTGGAAGGCAACAGCAAAATCAGAGGCCGTAGTAGAGGTGATCACCCTGCGACACTGATGTAGAGTCAAGGGTCTATGCGAGTTTGGCGGGGGTGTAATATACATAAACTGTATGTTACAATATGTATGAGTGTTTACATATCATGTGAGTAATTATTTAGACTTTGATGTGAATATACTTTCAGTTGTTAGTTTATTAGATACACCAGTCTAAAGCTAATGCAGTTTAATACAACATTCCTGCAGTAAATCCTCTCTGTATGATGGTTAGAATGATCATTTTTTTAAATGTACCCTATATTCTCACTTATAGTGTATAAACAGGGTGGACAAGTTAATAGAAACACCCATCAATATAACACAATACAGTTCAACAACAGAACAAACTACAGACTTCACAATGTTGAATCAGCACCTCTTTAAAACAGTTTGAACAAAATATGAACATTACCACATTTATGAAGGAGGATTTACTGCAGGACTGCTGTTTTTTATAGTATTTATTGACACAGACACTGTACTCATTCATACATAAAGTATTTTAATACACACAAATACATGCATTATAAAGAATAGTGTATACTGACATACATGCACTTTCACATGTGTGTATGCATCTACCAGTGCTTCATTTGTTGTTCATTTTGTTGCAGAAAGTTTTTGTAATTGAGTTTATTTGGGGAAAATGCAAGCATAATTAAAAACAGATTTTGAATGACCCATCTTATCACTATAACCACAGTGCATTACTGTAGCCACATGGTGGCAGTCTTGAACTTAATTCCCCATTAGAACCCTTATAAATCTTGTGTACATATGAATTAAATTAGGAGTTCACATTGACATATTTGATTGTCAGTATATATTGATATATAAAACTCCTGGTACTGAAACATCATATACAAATTGACATTGATTCTGTCAGGCTGCAAAAAATGGTTGTAGTGTAAGCCTTTGAGCAGACATGATCTGATACCTTGATCAATATTTGTCCCTTTTCTGGTGCTCTCAGTGATGAGGCTTCTGCTGTGGCTTAACAGAGACATGACTGATACTGCAGCCTAATTATCTGTCCGGGCGCAGGGCTTATTACCTCTACCAAGTTTGATTATATCCAAAGCAGTTCTGGGTTGACCACACGGAGCAGACCTGCTCTCTTTATACTTTACTGGATAAGAATCATCATCATCTCAGTGAAATCAGTGTTACAAGTGTGTGCAGGATATTATTGCTCTATTTGTGTAATAATAATGCTAATTTAGCCCCTTGGGCCTTTTGATTAGGCTGCCAATTGAAGCCTGCTGTTAATGCATGTGGCCTACTTTATTCTTTCATTATGCTACACTCAACTCTGACAACAGCACATGAGGGAACAGGGAAAGTACATAATGGAAATTAAAAGATATTTTATTTTACCTGCTGACCTGTTTGCATTTGTTTTGGAAATACAGCTGTAAAATCAATCAGGGAAATCATTGTCTGTGATATGCGAGCCAAGACATATCTTAAAAACCACATGCCTTTTCTTTTCTTTATCCAAACAAGGTGTAAAGTATAAAAATGCTTTGAATATTTTGCCTCATGATAGTAGGTTTGGGCTGATTTCTGTAGAATGATGCGAGTTCTGTGTCTGGGCATAATTTTTACTGCCACAGCTCAGCTCCACAGACCAAGACTCATCTCTGTCACTGGTGCCTACTCTAGTAATGGATATTGGTTATCTCTTAAAGTTGGATTTGACTGCAAGTCTACAGAAAGATTTATGGTGTGCAGCTGTCCACTGCAGCCAACCTTCAGCATTAGAGGCTCCACGTTTTCAGCCGGCCATCTGTCGGCAGTTTCAGATGTCAGTTCCAGTCATCAGAGCAGACATAATTGTGTCCCTTTCTGTTTACTTTAATATTGTCTAACCAGTCTTTTTTGTTTTAATTACCTTCTGCTTCATTATTCTTGTCTCAGAAAATGACATCACCCTTTCCTCTGAATTGTGAGGTCCTCGGGTTGCAATTAAAAACCACCTCATTTCCCTAAGTCTTATCTTAGCATTGCCTTAGTTTTTGTTGGCATATGACAGCAGATTTTGAGGAAAGCCCAGAGCAAAGAATAAGAAAAAAGTGCCCAGTCTGTATTTATCAAGAGAAGAGAAACAGGAACAGATAGACGGTGGTCCCTTGTTGCTCAAAAGTGATAAATGAAGTCAGAAGATGTGGCTGTGAGGTTCTTATCAGTCCAGAGAGCATCCTGGCAAATGTCAATGCCACAGAGAGAGGCATGTTTATGTGTGACAAAGGTGTGAGGGCAGATAAGCATGTATGTGTGAAATGCTTCAGAAATGAGCTTAGCTCTGACGTGAAAGTGTGGTTGGTGGGGGGGCTACAGAAATGGATGCTGACATCTGTTGTACTAAGAGTTGCTGTGGGGACGTCTTAATTTGCTAATGCACACTGAAGAGTGTTATATAAAACTTGCAGGGAGCTGCCTCGCTAAAGCTAAGCAATAGTGGAAAAACTACTCAGATGCTTTATTTATGCAAAAGGGCTGTATGACAGTGTACAAATATGTAGAAGCTTTGCATTTAAAATCCTACTTAAGCCTCGATGTCCTCCTTCAGCTCACTATACCAGCAGGCTATCTAATGACATGTTGATAGCTTGATCTAGGAGTACATCATGTACTGCTGTTCCTTTTAATGGCCTAGCCAAGCTTCTCCCAGATTACAGTGGCTGTAGCATAAACCAGTTCACTGGGCTCAGTTATGATGGTAGTAGGGACTGTTGTGAGAACTCAGTTGACATCTGCTAGCATGTTATCTGATGGTGTTTCTCAGAGGTTGACTGCAGCCAGTTTCTCCATTATTCTCTGCCTCATACAGTTTCAGTTATTGGTAGCATATCTAGTTGTTCATCTACCTCATGTTTGGCCTGTGTTGTACTGTGTAGTTAATCAACCTTAAGCTATAAAAGCAGCTTCCTCTTTACTATACTGAAGCATTGGATAACTGCTAGTTTCTCAGTTAGTGTGGATGTTGGTCATCCACAATTCTCTCTTTTCATTAGGTCTACTATTGTAGTAGCATTCTCCTCACTTGTCTGTATATGATTCTTCCAGTAGGCAAGGAATCTTTATTTATATAGCACATTTTATACACAGAGGCAATTCAAAGTGCTTTACAGAGGCAAGGAAAAACAGCAATAGCATTAAAAACAAAAAGCACTAAAACCAGAATAGAATCAGTGGAGACAAAGTGAAGATAAGCTTGTTATGTCTGTGTATAGCATAGAAGCTAAAAGCTGCTTCACCCTGTTTGGTTCTGACCCAATCTACCAGCAGACTGCCTCCTAAAGATCTCAAAGCCCTGCTGGGTTTGGATTCTTCAAGGAGATTAGAAATGTACTTTGGCCCCATACCACTGAATGACTTTTAAACTAACAGAAACACTTTAAAATCAATTCTGTAGGTAAATGGTAGCCAGTGTAAGGATTTAAGAACAGGAATGATGTGCTCAGTTCTCCTGGTTCTGGTTAAGACTGGCAGCAAGGTCTGACTGAGCTGAAGCTGTCTAACAGTCTTTATGGGAAGACCAGATAAACCATGGGTTTGAAACCCATGTTGGGTGTAAAGCTTTGCAGTTACTTTGGGACATCTGTGGCTCAAAAGGTAGAGTGGTTGTCCCCTAACTGTGTCCTTGTGAAAGGCCCTAAGTTCTTCCCAATAGCCAGGACAGTGCCACCATTGGTGTGTTTGCATGTAGCCACAGATGGCTGCCTTGGTTCTTACCAGAGAAGAACTCCTTCTGTGTGTAACATACTTGGCCAATAAAAGTGATTATCAACATCACTGGTACCGCCGTTAACCTACTGTAGAAAGTGTCCCTGGAATATTCAAATTTATCCGCCTGCACAGAAAATGATCTCTGGATGTATTTATTTAAAACAGCATGCAAGTGTCTGTAATCTACCAAATGAAGTTAGTGGTTTTGATTTAAGATGTGTCGCATAATACAGAGCCAGAGAGGTTGTTCTGCTGGTACAAGATAACCACTATTTCCCCAAGTGCACAGTTTCCACACTCCTCATCCTCCTGCCATTTTGGTTTTAAGAAGTGGTAAGCTGAAAATTTGTCTGTTGAATCTAATTTTCTGGCATTACACTTGATAGTTTTCTAGGATTTCTTTTCTTCAAAATGTCAGTAAGATGAGAGAATATAGCCTGTACATCCATAGCTTTCTTACCATAATTGTTGCAACCACTAAATCCTCTTTTGCAGAGGCATGATGCAAACTGAAGATATGTCTGTCTTCCACCAGTAGAGAGAGTGGTGACAGATATTTGATCGAAGCAATGATGAAAATCTGAAAATGCCTTTCAGCTGCATGAGCAGTCAAGAGCATCATGGACCTTATTAATGTAGCACTCAGTTTGAATGTTTTTTGTCTTTACATTCCTTTTCAGTTTCTTATCCATTTTTTCAACCCTTTTGTCATTGTTTTTTATCTAGAAAAGTTTTCACATAAAACAAAGTGCAGAAGTTCAGATTCAAGCTGCTGTTGCCTCTTGGGAAGTTTGTAATTCTTGTGGGGTGGATGACTAATAAAATCAGTTTGCTTCTGGTGGTCTGAGCTAGCTATAGATGACGTGAGGGAGTGAGCGAGCAGGCGTGGGTGAAGCTTCCTATCTATTGAGGGAGAGAATATACATGCACCGCTGCACTTGCTCATAGAGTGAGCCCACTTCAACACCCCATCCAGCTCCCATTGATGAGAGCGTCACTTTCGCCCCTGTCTCCCCCATCGAGCCACATTTCATGCATTCGAGATTTACTTGGAGAGAAGCTGCAAAAGAGAAAACAGACAAATTTAGGAGAGGTCAGACTGTGGGAGCTTTCTTGTAAGAATTACGTTGTCATCTCCTCCACTTAGGTGCATTAAGTGAATGATAAGGTATATACAGAGTAGTGAATCTCTTTTCTGCTTCTTGATGCAATCACTGCTGTTTGCAAAGTTGAACCTGAAGGGCACTGAGTGGTTTTGGATTCTCTGGCTAGTGAGGCTATTGTTCTGATTGTATGGCAGGTGGGGCAAGAAAATGTGCATGATAGTCCTTCCAAGTCCTGAAGGAGAATAAAGTGCTGCTCTTAATTTGTTCTGACATCCTGGCTTCAGAGATAATAAGTTGTTCCTGACGCTTACAGCACTCTGTCAGCTAAAGTCACCTTGAGGTCAGACAGTGAGTGATGCCAAAAGATGGTGAGGAGCCATGCTAGTTACAGCAAAGACTTGTGCCTGCATTAGCAAATAAGTCTGCAGTGTGGTAGACAGTTCAGCCTGTCAGTCTTCTGTAATCACGCAGTCTTGTACAGAGATCCCTAGCCTTTATTGTTTGATGTAACATTGAACACCGATGGCCCTCAGCTGAGTACCACCAACTGGCCTAGCCTCACATATGTTCTTACTACGAATTATGTTATTTAACACTATTAACTGATAATTATTGTAAGTGGATGTTGTTACAATATTTTTTCATACCATTAAATTGTCACTCCAAAGGTTGCTGTGCTCAGATTTGTGCTGCTACCACTGAGTGGCAGAAGCTTGAATGTTTCCGCTATTTCCACTACTTTTAGCTATTTAAATTGTCTATTGCTCTTATTTAACTCAACTGTTTATTCACTTTTAGCTAAATACATCAACTATTTAGTCACGTTTCGCTAACATGAACTATTTTAACAGTTTATCCATTCCTTTAGCTAACAACTGTTTAATCAAGCTTGCCCTGTCAACTATTTAATTTTAACTAGCTTAATTGTTTATTTCAATTGTTTATTTACTTTTAGCTAACTATTTTAATTATTTTTTCATTAATTTCAGCTAGCTATCACCATCATTTGTTTATCCATTAAAGTTGGGATAAAGCAAAATCATTGATTTGCTTCTAAACACATTATCAGTGTTAGAAAATAGTTGTTGAAAACATGAAAAGACCTGCGATGGGCTGGCGACCTGTCCAGGGTGTACCCCACCTCTCGCCCGCAGTTGGCTGGGATTGGCTCCAGCCCCCCGTGACCCCGTTTGGGACTAAGCGGTATAGAAAATAGATAGATGGATGGAACATGAAAAGACTGAGACCTATTTAGTGCTGAATTGCGCTAAAGCCATCCTTAACATAATGCCTCCCCCGACACTGTAATGTTATAAATCCTGGAGAGCACAGAGCTCTATGCCTGTATTTGTTTTTAGGGACCCTCGTGAAACTGAGCACAGATTAAAATTTACAGCCACGGTTATGGTTTTTAAAAGAAATAACATTAATGCTGCTACCTCAGTATTACACAGTGAAAAAAGTAGGAACATAAATTGTGAATGTGTTGGAGTGGGTCTGAACCGACTGTAGTTGGTGGAGGGATAGAGGCGCGAGGGAGGCAATGGCCACACAGCGGGCCCTGCAGCTGCTGCTGCACTGGACAGGTCACCACGGCGTATTTATAACTATTTAAACTACTGTATTTAGGTTTTACCTTTTTATTATTATTCAGCTGTATATCAAGTTAGTTTTAGCTAATGCTAACAGTTTCAACTGTTTAGCAGTTGCCACTAGCTAACTCTTTTTTTTTTACTGCTAACTTTTTTAACTTCTCTGTTCACTTTCAAACATTTTTATGCACTCTCATATGACAAGCCATTTTAACATGTAATTGCTAGACTAAATATGTGTTGCATATATCTGTAATTCAATTCTTACCAGCGTTGTAGTGAAGTCACTAATTCTTGAGTCTCGAGTCCCCAATGTTCGCATCCAAGTCAAGTCCAAATCACAAAATAGTCTGAGTCAAGACTGATTTGAATCCCCGTTATTCAAGTCTGAGTCATCAGGGTCTACATTAAAAACAACTAACACAGTTCTCACCATTTTAAAAGGAGTCTACTTAAGGCGTGCAACACAATAACCAAATACACACACTACTTCAAAGTGAATGAAGTGATTCAGTGCTTATGTTTCAAATAAGATGATCATAACTGTTGTGAATAAGGCATCATTTGCCAGTTTGCAGGTATCAAATCCTGAGATTTTAAACTTTCCAATAGCGTATTACGATATTGCTCTGCAATCTGATACAGAAAGGTAGAGTGGATGCTTTGATGGAAGTGTTTGGGATAAAGCATGGTGCAGGCAAACAGGTTTTGGCATCAATATCTTATGGCAAATTATTATGACCTATTACAAAAAAATAAGTCAGTGCCCAAGTCTCCAACTTTAAGTCCAAATACAGTCAATGCTGAGTCCAAGTCCGAGTCATCATCACTCAAGTCCAAATTGAGTCATGAGTCCTGATTCTTGCTAATCAAAATGAACATACTCTTATATCATTGTGTAACAAATTACTTTAGTAAATGGACAGCTTGTAAAGATCTGCATTCACACCTATTCCTGTTTATAGTTTTTATTTTTCTCCTTATCACAATACTTTTTTAATTAAAATCTAATTGTCTGTCTTTAATTCACTTTAGTTAGTCAGTTAATAGAGTTTGTCAATTAGTTGCAACTGTTAGACACTTTTGCCAAAGACACAAGAGAGGATGTTTCATTATTCATGCCATCCATCCATCCATTTTCTTCCGCTTATCCAGGACCGGGTCGCGGGGGCAGCAGTCTAAGCAAAGATGCCCAGACTTCCCTCTCTCCAGACACTTCCTCCAGCTCCTCCGGGGGAATGCCAAGGCGTTCCCAGGCCAGCCGAGAGACATAGTCCCTCCAGCGTGTCCTGGGTCTTCCCCGGGGCCTCCTCCCGGTGGGACATGCCTGGAACACCTTCCTAGGAAGGCGCCCAGGAGGCATCTGAAACAGATGCCCGAGCCACCTCAGCTGGCTCCTCTCGATGTGGAGGAGCAGCGGTTCTACTCTGAGCTCCTCCCGGGTGACCGAGCTCCTCACCTTATCTCTAAGGGTGCGCCCGGCCACCCTGCGGAGAAAGCTCATTTCGGCCGCCTGTATCCGGGATCTTGCCCTTTCGGTCATGACCCAAAGTTCATGACCATAGGTGAGAGTCGGAACGTAGTTACCATTAGTTATTTTAGTACTTAATTATTCATGCCAAATGTATTTATTAACTCAATGTACAATACACAGTCAACACAATAAACCCTCTTTACCACTGCTTAGCAGTTTTGTGTACCTGCTATCATCTTCTTTTTTTATTAAAGCTCCATCTGCCTGTGATTACTGACTGGATCTGTTTTCAGTATATTTCTTGAATAAACAGTTACATTAAAAATTCACTGGCTGACTGTTTTTCCAAGAAATTCATTTACAAAGTTGACAATACACATCTGCAATAATATTGACAGAGAATACATTTACTCTAAAGATAAAATAATATAGTTTTAAATGACTTTTATGGTAAAGGGTAGGTAGTTTTTACTTCTTTGAGCTCAGTTTCTTTTTTCTAACATGTAAGTACAGCACAGTCTGTAAAAGAGTAGTCATCTTTCTCAGTGATGTCTTTTCATCTTCTTGTGATGGTGGTGAAATACCTTGGCAGGAGTGTTGCATCCTAAAAAGACAGATTTAGTCCAGATCAATATGCAGTCCAAGTGATAGTCCATCCACACATCTTGTTTTGTTTTATCTCTCTCTTTCTCTGGGTTAGCCTTCTCTCTTTATATAGCATCTTCTTAGCGCAGACAGTCAGGCAGCAGCACAGACACCCTGTCTTCAGGAGAGGCCAAGAGATCTGTCCAGCCTTGTGTTTTCCTCTCCTCCCATCTTGCCTCCTTGTTCTCTTTGTCTCCCCCATCCCCAGCGAACCAGTGCTATACGTGTCCAGGCTTGGACAGGTACGCTATGAGGGCCACAACCACCCCCACATACATCCCCGTTCCAATGGTAATGGAAAGAGCAGCCAGGAATAGGGCTCTTCTGGAGCTTATTCCTGCTCTTGAGAAGTCTCCCTTAGCGATGGCCTTGCCAGTCTGACAATACAAAGCAGAGATTGAAATGAGCCGGTGTGTTACTCTCAGGGAGCCATTAGTTACCATGGCAATGAGGTCATTATCCCTCTGACATTGACAAATGTGTTGTTTGGGTGTTTTAGTTTCCTATCAAAAAAATGAGCCTGGCTCTTATTTTTCCTTCTGGCACATTTTTGATCTAGTGCAATTGTATGTGCAACTATTGTTGAAGATCTTGCAAAACCACTAGGATATGCTGTGTTTGAGGTTGCATGGCACCCATTGATTTTGGACTATAAATATACTAACATCGGAAGAACCTAACATGATGCTGTCATTACAAATGAGGTGTCAGTTATAAATGCAAAATTGTAATTGCAGTGCACTGCTCATGCAGAACATATTGTGAACCAAAACCTCAGTGTTAATGGTTTCCTAAAGTTAATACTGAGGATTGACAAGTGATGAACCTGCCGTATTTACAGTTATCTGAAATAACCACAAGGAGGTGCCAAGGTGGAAAATGGGCTGCAGCAGCACTTGTTTGTGCTCCCTGATAAATAGAATGTAGTGTAATCAGAGTCCTGGACAGGCTTGAGGTCTCTGGACATTTACCTTGTGGGAGTAGTAAAAGGCGACAATGCCCAAGGGCCAGAAGCAGCAGAGCATGGAGAAGATGGCAAGGCCTAGGTAGTCTCGAGGGGGCAGCACGAGGAAGTTGTCCTCACTCTCACTGTCACTGGAGCTGTCACTCTGGAGGACAGCGAGTTGATATACAATAAATATATGTCAGCACAGGAACAAATGATACTATTTAGTGCATATTTTACACCCTAGAAATCCATTTTCTGAGACAAAGTATGCTTTCTTAAAACTGGCAATCCTGAGATTGACACTTAAATAACAATAATAGAGTAAGACTGACATGTCTAAACAAGTGTATGTTGGATGTCTTCGCAGTGATGTAGCTTGACAATGTGGTATCTGCCCTTGTTCCACAATCACTCAGGACAGGATGTGCTCAGCCAGCCAGAGAGGATTTGGTGCCTCTGTCAACACCCATGAGCAGCCTGACAGATAACACAGGATTAACAGATTGTTCCATCATTGCGAGGTGACAGGGGAAACAGCAAGAAGACAGTGTCATTTATGTGCTAAATTGCCTCTACAGCATGAGAGGCCTCTGCCATCTCTCCTCAATACACCTGGCATCATACAAGGCAGCGAGTCGCTCTCTATATATTGTCTTGATACTCAAACTCCGGACCAGAGAGGCTGAGCAGGCAAATGAAAGATAAATACAAATGTCACTCATACTGATGCATTTGTATTCCCTGGCTTTTAACAATGTTACTGATTGATGTATTTGTTTTGATTATGCATTTTAGCTGTTATTTCATTGTGTAGATGTTTTATCTGGTTTTATTTATTTTTATTATTTTTATGATTTACTGGAAAGCACCTTGTAACGTAGGTTTAGAAAGGTGCTATATAAATAAAGTTTGCTTGCTTGCTTGCTTGCTTACTGCATTGGCACATCATACCTGCAGCAGAGATGGCAATGTGACTACATGGCTGACCTTTTAAGAGGAGACAGCCTTACTCCTCTCAGCTGTCCCAGAGATATAGTGGATGTTTGTCTAAATAAATAGCCCCCATAATGATCATGTTTCATTTGTTAGTCTTGCTGCCTTGGGGGATCAATCAAAGCGGGAAAAAGGAAGGCACAAAATAGAAATCGATATGTAAGGCCAGAACTGAAACAACCATTTTAGAGGTAATTACAGAACAGTCAGGAAAGGAGGCAAGTAAGGAAGGACCCATGTTTTAAAAATGTACCCAGTTTGTGCTCTTAGCTTCTAATCTCATGTATATTCTACCAAACCACAGCCTCTAATGTAATTATCTTGAATTATTTTGGGTTTTTTTTTTGTATTTAAACCTTATTTAGATGTTAGAAGGAAGTGGAGGACAGCAGCAATACGCTCCACTAAGTTTCCACATAGATACGTTTGACAAGAGGCTTATGAAGCTCACTGTTATCTGCTTTATGAGCCCTGTCCACCTGAACAACTGGTTGTGATCCATCAAAACAGCAGCTGGTCATAACCACATAATGTTGACATCACATGAATAAACTGGTGTGCACAAACACCAGTAATCTCCTTTTATCTATATAGCAAGACCCGATAACAGTCCTGAATGACTGGTGCACTCAGTCCTACTGACATCCTGCCTGACACCCAGGCCTGTCGGCTGGGGAGACAGTCCCAGGCTGATCTGATGGCAGTATAACTGATGGGGCTCCACTGAGGCACAGTGCCTTTAACAACCCTGTCACAGCTCTCTCTGAGCCCTTGTTAGTCTGGAGGGAACAGTCGGCTCCACAGCAGGACACACACAGACCCATGCACCTAGTTGGTAGCAAGGGCAATTACAGTGGTACCATCCACCCGTTCTTGTTACTTTGTTACCTGCAATTTATTTTTCCTCTGTCACACAGATGTCAAGCACCTGCTGACAAAAACAAGCTGCGGAACTACTATTGTAAAGTTTTACTACTTTTTTTTCTGTTGCTGACTCTACACAGCAAATAAGGCAACAAGGAGATGTAGAGTAATGATATGGGTAGCAGTAAAGAGCAAAATAACAGAGGCGGAAGAAATGCTCAGATCTCTTACTTAAAGCTACAGTATGTACCTTTTTCAAATATTTGTGTTATAGAAATCTGGTCCAAAACTTGTCTTAATGTAGCGAGGTACTGCCGAAGCCTCCCGAGACTGAGACTCAATGAACAGCACTGGCAGCAGTGCAGCGATATTACCTACTAAAAGGCTTTGAGCAGGACTGACCTCTCTAAGTAATCAGAGATGTTCAGTTATTTCTGCTTGATGAGTATGTTTTGTTGCATTCTCATTTTTTTGCAATTTCATAATGACAACTATCTGAAGAGCTGGGCAGAGTGTGGTGGAGCATAGCAGATCATAGCAGAGCACAGTGGAGCAGGGAGAGGGAGTGCTGGGCGGACCAGAGTGGACTGACTTGGAGTTTCATCATAGTGCTACAGTATCTGAAGTTACAGACATACAGGAAGCAAGAGTAAAGAAACACAGGTGCAAAAAGTCTCATATTCCATCTAAAAATGCAGAGTCAGCATCAGCAGAGTCCTGCTAATACTCAAAGCACTACATGTGGCATTAATGGCAGTCGCTGCCATGTCTCTCTATCTTGTCTGCCAGGCTTTCAAGTGACAAGAGTTGGTGTGATCATTAGCCCAATTAGGCTGCAATACTTCTTCTCCTGACAGGCCAGATTTCTGAGTGTCTCACGAGTGTCCCTAGGTGAAATTAGATTTTTACCACTTCTGAGATGACTGCTCTTTTGCTGTCATGGTTCTCTTTGGAGAGAGCCATAAAAAGAACAATAGCCTGGATAGATCAAATCAGATGTGTCACTTTTTTAGAATATAATTACAAATCAAAAGCACACAATTTTCCCACAATAGCTTTGAAAGACTCCAGCAAATTGACCATTTAGGAAGCTTTCTGCTGAAAATGAGCCCTGACAGTTACCAGTAAGTGTCAAAACACCTTTAATATCTTGCAGCAACTCAGTATTTTAATTATGCTGTCAAACACTACATCTGCAGCATTTGCTTATTAATGTGCAGTTATAGTAATCATTCCCAGATTGAGAAATTATTGGTACAAAAACATTCCTACAGTTTATCTGTACAATTAGACTTTTACCGCATAGAGACCCATTATCTCCAAATAAATGCATTAACATGCACAAGTTGCTATATGTGGAAAACTCAATCGTTCTTTGCCCTAATGTGACCTCTGACCTCATACTCAGGACCCTGCTCATCCTCCACCTCGTACGACACTGTGTGGATCTTCACATCCTTCTGTCCTTGTATGTTGTCTGGTGTGTTTTCTATAGACACTCCATCTGAAACAGCGTCCTTACTCTCTGTGAATGTAGTCTCAAAGCTCTCGCTCTTGGAGTCTTTGCTGTGAAGGCTGACGTTGTCCTTGTACAGTATGATGTTGGGCCTGTAGAAGGCCTCCACAGCTAGATGCAGGGATGTTGCATCCAGGAACTGCTGAGTCTTATGCTTGCCATTAGTCCCATTGTAGCAATAGCCAGTGAGGTTGTTTTGGTAAGGCTGGCTCGAGCAGTCACACTGGTAACCCTGGTAGTCACTGTGGACAACATGTCTGCTGGTTTTGTCTAGCAGGGGGTTCTGGAGCTCACTGAGACTCTCCATGTTGATGCCAGATTCAGATGTCTTGTGGATCAAAGGATGGAGTCCAACAGAGATTTGGCAGTTTGGAAGCTGGAAACATGTTAAGAACAGAATAAATAAAACCATTAGAAGAGAGAAATAACAGTGCATTTAAATCATGACACATTCTTGGGGAAATGAATACCTGCAGCCTAACTATCCAGTCTGATATTTTTTTTTAGTAATAATGTGCTCTCTCAGATATGAATTCACTGCAGGAAATATTTCATCTTGTTTGGCAATAAGCATTCCTCTCACAGACTCTCGCCATTTGGAGCCATGAAATCACCATCTGCTCAACTGTTGCATCTCACACCCCCAGATTCATATAAACATGTACTGTACATTAAAAAAAAGCCTCTTCCACATGTCACAGTTTCCTGTACAGAAATCAAGAAAAGGTGCTGCTGTTCACAGTGCATACAGATTATTTGAAAAGTCTGTAAACTGGCCTTCTTGAGTCATCCTGACTGTTTTTGAATCAACTGAAAATGGAACAAATGAAAATGACACTCAGTGAAAAAAAGAAATTAGTGGTTTATGTTAAAGATAAACATAGAAACACTGTATGGGTAGGCAGTAACTAAGGCAACAGGTTCCGCCAGTAAGAGGTCGTGGGACCTAGCAGGTCTATATTCAGTTTTAATAAGCAAATATACTGTTTTGTTTTGCAAATATGCCATCCAGCAGCAGTGGTCAGTCCCTCTTGCCCCGCAAAGACCTCATCCATGAAATTAATCTTTTGGTCCCATGTCTAATGATAAAATATGATAATAGACTCTGAAGCAGTTGTGTCACATTTGCTACTAGAATGTAGCAAATCAAGTCAGTCATTTCATGCTTTTTGTTGACAGTGTTCTACAGTAATGAGAAGTAAGCCAGGAGGTGGAAATAAACGAGAAACAGTTGCAGATCTGTATTTATGAGGTCTGAGAGGTGAATGAGTTGCAAAGAATGAAATACTGCCAAAATAACAGGAACACTATGAAATGCCATCTAGTGCCACATTACAAACTGTAGTTTCTAGCTCTGTCTCAATGTCTCTGTCACAGTCTCATCACCAATGAAAAATAGAAACCCAACAAAGCTGATATTTATTTGCAAGATATTGTACAGGCTTGCATTATATACAGTATCCGGCCCCAACAAAAGATGTACAGGTCTACAAGAGACCTCTGGCCCCTGTGACCCCATAAGGATAAAAGGTCATGTAGCCACAGGGCTTCAGAGCTGCTCAGCCTGGAGAAGCATGAATAATGTGGGCCCACACACATGGCTCAGGCTCAGTATCTTCAACACTGCGTCCTGTGGTGTACATTCTCACATGCTTCTGAGGATGAGCTGCTCTCCAGAAAACAGGGAATTCTATTACACACTACATTAGACAACACAAACCACATCTCACATCCACAAATAATTCATCACACACCAGGAGGTGTGCACTTGGCACACACAGGAGTTATTAATGATCATGATCACTCGATCTTCTCTTTCTCCCTGTGTTTTTGTATGTTTACTAGTCCTTTAGTTAATTCATATGTCTATTCCCCCCCCCCCCCCCACCCACCCCCACACACCCCACACCCTTCCTGGAATAATAGCATAAGAATATCTTGTATAAGCAGCTAAACATTTCCGAAAATCATCTTACCTGTGTCAGAAAATCCTGCTGCTGTTTTCAGCATTGTTCCTCGGCGCAACTGAGTCGATGGAGACGGACCTTTCTACTTCACATCATCGGTTTTTGCAAAAAACATATGCACAGCATATAGTATCCGTTAGAAAAGTTATTTAGTGTGTATACGAATGGACTTTGCCACCTGAGCTCTGCCTTCCATGGCACTGCTGGTCTGACGGGTAGATTTTACGCACAGTATCGTGCTGATCTCACTCTCCAACCAACTCCGACAGAGGCAGAGTGGACTCAAACCAACTGATTGGTTGGGTGAGGCGCGCTGTAAACTCTATGACCGACCACGGTTTTGACATTTCCAAACTCTGCTTGCCTTGCTTGGGCGTCTTCCTCCATCTCAGTGTTTCATGTGCTGGCTGGGGGTTTTACGCGCCCCCAGCGGTGCTATTTTGCCTCGTTGCATAAGCACAGTCCTTTGTAAACCAGGTTGGCTGCCTCCTGAAATAGCCACAGAAATTTATTGTAAAACACATGAGCCAGCGTTCCCTCACTGCACATTTATAAGATGTGTGTCCTGAAATAACTACGGCTTATTGCTTCCACAACTTAAAGGTGAGCTGTTTATTCTTCTCTACCGTGAAAGCCTATTAAATACAGGAAAAACACAGCACAGAAATTTCACAGTTTAGCTCTATAGCCATCCTTTATAGGTGAATTTCATAATTTCCCATTCTTGCATAATTTCAACATTTATTGTTTTAATTGTTCTAATTGTCCTTGTCCCTGTATTCTGGCTGTCTCAACTGATTCCAAACATAGGTAAGGAACAAGTCACTTTTAAATCCATTGCACATTTACATTTGATTAATATTTTAGACAAATCCCATGCATTTATCATGAGCCTGCCAAATGATTGTGCCTTTAACCCCACTCTACTAAGCAGCTTATGATTCCATGCCAAATTTTATCATTGGAAAGAGTATTTACATAACATTAATATCTATGTTTTTCCCATGCAAGCAAATGGGTGACATAATAGATTCCACACATTATTAAACCCAATTTATTTTGATCCCCCTGGAGGATATTAATGTCATAACTGCAGTGTTTACAAAAGCATAGTCTCTGGTTTGGACCCGTGTAAAAACACACTAAAACATTGCCTATCAGAGATTGTAATGTTGTGCCAAATACTAGGCTAATATACAGCCAGTGAACACTGAAAACATACATCAGAAGCAGCACTTCATTCCACACGCTTAGTTAATGCTTAAGTTAATAATTTGGAAGCATCTCCCAGTAAAAGTGACATGCATCAAGGTGCTGATAGACACCTTATGGGGAAAACATGGTGCTGCATTTAAGACTGAGCACACATAAGATGCGTCACCTAGTGTTCACATACACAAGGCAATGTGGTGTTAACAGCCCTGCCATCGCTGTGATGGATAACACTCCCTCAGGAAATGAACATATTAGAAGGGCAAATGGTGTGGTGACCAGAACCAGTTACTGTTTATCCATTATTCTTATTTCTTTTTCTCTTTCCATTGCCCTGTGTAGCAAGATTCAGAGTAACATTCTTCAACATTCTTCTTCAGACCTGTGTTAAAATGGCAGGGAAACGTCCATCACACCACTGAAATATCAGAATCTAAAAGATCTGTTTAGATTAGTGGTGCCACATTATGTTTACAGGAAGAGAAGATTTCTCATTGGACCTAGCTTTTTCCAGCCGTTTGTGAATATTTATGGTTCTCACTGTGCCCCTTTCTTCTGCTCCATTTTCCACTCTATATTTAGGCACTGTGTCACTACAAAGCAGACACACTGTTTATCAAGCATTTTCCCTCAGAGTTTTGCCTTTTCAAGATGCAAAACAATTTCTTATAACTGAATATGCAACTGTTCATGTATTCATGACTGACAAAGTCTGATAATGTTACCTCCTGCATTGACTTTACTCCACCCTTATGTGATATCTCAGCTGACTTTGACACCATGAACTTCACTAAGGCCCAATAACCAGTTTTTAATCATGTAAACATGCCTGAGAATTAATCAACCTAATCCAAAAGTATCAAACCACTTAATTTGGTCTGTCCTAGTTGGGTTTTGTGGAGAAAATTGGGGATTTAAGCAGCTTTTCTCAAATGTCCATTCTGTCCATTATTTCCTGTTTGATTAAACGCTTGAACAAAGCATATGCCAACAGCTGCACCTCTGACCACTGAAACAGCCCATGGGACAGCAGAAAAAGAAAAAAAGAAATACACTATAAAATCAATTTGGATATTATCAGTGTAATTTATTGTCAGTCCTATTTCAGACCAAAAGTGTATGTTTCACACTTTTCATATCAGAAGAAGTCAGTCATTTCTTGTCCTAGTGGTTATTTTCACCATATAAACTGTGCTGCTGGTTCTCATTGCTGATATCAGGTGCTGTGTGAGGAGCTCATCTAGAGGTCACTTTGCTGAAAACAGTAGGATTTCAGTCCCTGTAGTGTCAGGTTTAGGTGTAGCAACAGGAGAAGGCTCTGCGTACAGGAAGGTTTTGGCAGAAACAGAGATTGGGGCTCCTTCCACACCTGGAGGCATGCCGCAAGCCTCAAACTGCAAACGCTCACCCAATCGCAAAAGCCACGGCCAAATGCCCCCTCATTTTCACTACCTGATTCAGGGCAGGAAAAGGGCGAGCAGAGAGACAATATGTAAATTAGAAGTGGTGATGAATAAGAGAATAGGTTGGTGGGGAAAAATTAACAGATCCAGCTGTTCACCCCCAGGCATTTCTTCCAAAAGTAGCACATTGCCTTGTTTGTTTACCATAAAATGCTGCTAACAGGCTCTCTCAGAATTCATTTTTGAATGTCATATTACAGGACTTCACTTAAGTTGCCTGTTAAGGTCTAATAGTAAAGCCAGACAATCTGGTAAAGGAAACTGATTTATTGCATGCTTACATCCAGACAAAATGAAAGTGAGTTGGACTTCTACATGAGCTTGTCATAATGAAAAACATTATAGTGGGCGAATGCATGAAAACATAATTGTTAGTGAATGTCAAGATTATGAGAAACAATTTCATTACAGTATTAGAAAGTTGCACTGCGTGGGACTTTTCGAGGTCCTTCTACAAATGTTCAATCAGCATATTAACAGTATGTGTCTGAAAGTTGGTCCATATCAGTGCACAGGGAGTGGTTGTGTGCTTGGAATCCCAAGGGACCAGCAGAGACTTTTGGCTCTGCAATTATCTAACACACAAATGCAATATGTGTCGAAATAGTTGAAAGTGCTCCATTGGTGTGTGTGTGTGTGTGTGTGTGTGTGTGTGTGGGGGGGGGGTCAGACTTGTCATCCACAATTTCAGACAGAAGTATCACTTTGTAGATCTGCCCTTCACCTGTAAGCACATATCCTATTTAGCAGTGCACACTGAAAAAAAAGATTTGTTGGATTTACTTCATTGTAATGTGTACATCGGTCCCACACAATGATAATGTGTAAAACCAACATCATTTTCTTTATGTTAACAGAGGAAATATGAATGAATTGCACGGCATATACTAGCATAATTTGTGTAAATCCAAAGACCCGGTGTTTCCTTTTTTTCAGTGCATAAAATATGCAAAGTGTGCAGCCTGGACCTGCAGGAGTCCAAAATTTCAATCAAAATTTGACTTCCACCCACAGAGGAAAAGTGAATGAGGACAGTGGGGAGTTTCTCATCTTCACAGATCACTGGCAGTGGTACAGTAGTCAACCGGTCCACTCCATATAGACACCATGAGCAGATTAATGGCATCCTCCATCTCGAGATTTGAAAACTTCCATTAACCAATGACAATTTATTTGGACAGGCGAGCTGCTTTTCTGTGAATAATGAAGTAGCCTTGGGATCATTAATATGATGGATTCTCTCTAATGCAGTCATGCTGTGCCAGACATCCTAGTAAAGAAGTGAAAAAAGCTGTGTACAATGTTAGCAATATAGATTTGTAGACTGATTTCATACTGAGTCACTCCCTCTATAAGAGGACGTAAGATTTTCTTAAGAACTAATACCTCAGAGGATCACCGTTTGAAATGCTATTAATACTAATGATCAGTGCTGTTAAGTCTGTGGAGTGTGTTTGCATATGTACCAGGTGATGAGTCAGTCTGCTGTATGACTTGCAGAGATATGGTTTTATTCACAGTCTGTCCCATCAGTCCTTTGAGAAAACTTAACAAATGGGCCCAACCTCCCTGCCGGAGCCACTGTCCCTGATGTGTTACTGGACCAGCCTGCATGTCTTAGAGTGTTCTGCTTTAAGATATTAAATCAACTATTAAACAGCCAATGATTTGGCATTGTCTTTATGTGTCTGAGCTAAACAGAGTTCAGATAAAGCCTTATTTCCCTGTCTGTCAGTCAACAGTTGTGGGTTATAAATAGGTAATCGTTTAGGAACTGCTGCAGTTTAGGGAGCTCTCTGAGGGCCAGGCTGACTCACCAGCCTGTCTCTTTGCATCATGTCAGTTACCTGGTGCATGCACCTGTCTCTGCACCTCCTATCATTGCCTCAAAACCACTGACTGGCACACATGAATGAGCTTGTTAAAGGATGCATCACTGTTCTATACTAAACAAATATTTTCCCAGATTTATAAAGGAGAATCTAATTATTTTTATAAGTACAATGAACAAAATTACTATGTGTAATTTGAGGGGATTCGCTCACAGTGATGAGCCTACAGATACCTCTATAGCTCCCCTCAGATCTATATTGTAGCATGTTTCAGCTAGTTAGTTAGCAACTAGCTAAACAGTGTGAGAAGTCCCCACCAAAAGGGTCACCTGACCACTTCCAGGACATGGGAAGGATGAATCAAGCACCTCTACCTGGAAGTAACCGCCCCCTCTCAGGTGCAGTCAGTTTTACCAGAGGATATGTACACTGTCTTTGTTCCCTTCTGCCTTTTGACCAGAGAACATGTGTTTGTGTGCATCCATGTAAGATAGATTTATCCATTATTTGGCTTAATCCAGCTCTCACATGACTTATATTTATGGTTTTGGTTCTGCTAATAATATCTGCTTGTTTGTTAATGGAACTTAATGGAATCATTTTCAGCTGAAGCTATTAGTGCTTCGTCTTAACTGTAGTGTTATGGTTTTATTGTGTTGCTGACACTTGTGAGGTCTGATAAAACATAATGGTTGTTTAGCAGCAGTGGAAATAAGGCTGTCCTACACTGTGAGCAGTAAAGCTAAAATGCTGATGTAGAGAGTGTTGTAGATTTCACAGTCTACTACAGAGTGATGTGTTCAAAGACCATATTCTGCTGAAACAAAAAAGTCTAAAACTAATTATTTGATGTCATGAAGCTTGCATAATGCACGCACCGTAAAACTCATCTTCTGCTTCCCCCTCTGATTAGAATCAATAGCGACACATTCCCTAATGTTCTTCTTTAATGTTCTTATCTGAACTGCAATTTCAGGTGGGTTTATTAACTGAGTCTTTGTAAGCTGCTAGTGGTGCCCTTATTTAAAAAGCTATTTTCAGTGCACACTGTCACTGTGGCTAGTGTTGTAACTAATAAACAATACCCTGGGATTTCTGTGGGTGTCAGTAGGTGAGGAAGGGCTACTTGTTTGTGTGTGCACCCTACTGTAGCTTTCATTTTCAAAAGCCTCTTAATGGACCCACAAGAGACGTGAGCCTTGTTTCCACAGTGAAGGACCAATCTGGAATTACAACCTGCCAGAAATCTATGATGCTCTGCCACAGGATCATATTCTGTGTCACTGGCAGTTCACAACTGCTCCACAGGGTGTGTGTGGTGATATAGACAGCATTTTAAGAGAATCAGTGCTCAGAACCTCTGGGAGAGGAGCAGTCATCAGAATCTAAGATGAAGAAATTTCTGTTGCTGCTCAACCATTCAAGCTCTTTGGCCCAAAGCTCTTTAAAGGTGCAGTGTGTGAAATTTCAATGTTCAGCAAAGCTTGTTTTAAATTGCTCGCTCAGCTGTTTCACAGCGGTTATCATAAATGTTGGGTAAAGTGTGTACTCAGAAAACAAGTGCAGCTGCCTTGATCAAGCAAAAGCTAATAGCGGCTCACTTGACCACAGTAGGTTAACTAGCACTGGCCATGTTCTAGCTCAAGCGATCAACAAAAACTGGCATTTAGATTAACATGACTTGTCAGCCTAAATTACCCTTCCAGCATTGTTCCTCATCAAGGATTTCCATCTAGGAAAGGTCAAACTAATACTTATCCTGTCTGCTTTTTTCAGGTGTTAAAGTACAATCTTCAATTTCTTCAAATCTTCTTCTTCTCCTTCTTTCGGCTGTTCCCATTAGGGGTCGCCACAGCGAATCATCTGTCTCTACCTAACTCTATCCTCGGCATCCTCTACTCTCGCCTCAGTTAACTTCATGTCCTCTCTCCTTCTTCGACCAACAGTAGTCCAACTTCCACCAGCACCCTCTAGGTCAACAGCACTGGTCGCAGTCGTTGGGCCTCGACCAATCCGGTATGGAATTCACACTGATGATTTTACTGATGTTTAAATTTGGCATGTTTTTACGCCAGATGCCCTTCCTGACACAACCCTCTCTATTTATCCAGGCTTGGGACTGGCACAGAAGTCACTGGCTTGCAACCCCTGTGGCTAGATTCCTCAGTTTCTTCAAATAATACTTCTTAAACCTAAGACAATGCCTCCTCTAGTTTGTAACGTTACTACTTCTTCATCTTCCGAGCATCTCCAAATCCAAGCTGCTACTTCAACATGAAAACGTGAACTTCATGCCCATAGCCAGTGTATGGTTTTTCCGTTTTAGGCTGCTAAAAAAAACATGGCAGGTCAACATGGCAGCCTTCATGACAGGAGACCTGCTCCTATGTAGGTAAAAAAAAAAGGCTCATTCAAGTTAAAGAAAATGCAACAATTCTTATTTTCTGGTGATTACACAGTAATGAAAATGTAAGTATGCATACTATAACCCATTTCTGATAATAAATCCTTCTGAATATTACACACTGCACCTTTTAAAATAACTCTGCCATACTAATTTGGTCATCTATTCTCTGACAGCCATCAGAGGTATCCATTATGATAACTGAAACTGTCTACATGAGATCTGACTACGGGTGATACTTGACAACATGTCTGCACTATAATTGACTGCTTTTTTGTTAGGCTAAATAATAGATGCCTCACTATGCATAATTCATCTGTGAGGCACTATTTGTGTTTTTTTTCTTTCCTTTTTTTTGTGTAAGGCTGGAGCTGTCATTGCCACTATCACTGTGTCAGTTGCTTGTTCTCTCCACCTAGCAGAGGTTATCTGCTGGATGTAATGAGAATATCACAACCACAGTTGGAACCATCAGAGCATGCTAAACCACACAGGTGTTGTTTAGTTTTTTTCCCACTGCAAATATTATAAACTCAACATTCATGCAGGTAAATGAATACAGCGCACAATAATAGCCTATGCATCCATTAGCAGATTTATAAGGTTCATGAAAATCTAAGTGTTACACAAGAGATGCTGGACACCAAAGGCAGTTTAACTCTGGGGACCTCTAGAAGTATAGATATTTTATTGAAGTACTCATTATGATGAATGATGGCTTGGATGGAAATTTAATCAGGTCCTTTTTCTCATTCATTTCTCTACTTAATATCATTTCTCATGTGACATTAAGCCAAAGGTAGACATTCACTGTGGCTCTGTAAACTGTGAGTAAGAAAGCTGTAGATTTGCACTTTGTAAATAATTAGTAAAACACTAATATGTCATACTGGTGTATTTTTCAGTAGGTGGAAAACTCAGGGACTTCCTCCTTCATTTCAAGGACCAAAACAAGACCACTGAGTCTGCTATCCATAGCAGCTTTTCTATGCCATGTCTTATTCATATATTTTACATCATATGAATGTAACTTTCGGCTTTTTCCCGTCAGGGGCCACCACAGCGAATCATCACACTGACGATTCCCATGTTGACATTTGGCCCGTGTTTTACACCGAACGCCCCCTTCCTGACGCAACCCTGACTCGAACCAAGGCCACAGCGGTGAGAGCTATTCTATCAGGGAACCCATTTTACATCATGTAATATTTATTTATATAACTGTTTTAAGAACACATTTATGAGAGAAGATAAACTTAATGGGAGAAAATAATATTTCAGTCATTTCAGTTCATCTGGGGGGGTGCTTCAATATTTGTACCAAATTTCAAGGCAATCCATCAGGGGAAGATCTAGAAAATTTTGGACAGGGTGGCCAGACTGGGGCACAGACTCAGAGAGGGGTGGCACATTTGAAATATATATTCATTCATTTTTCTACCGCTTAGTCCCTGAACGGGGTCAAGGGGGGTTGGGGGGATTTGGGCGGAGGCAATCCCGGCCGGCAATCAGGCAAAGGCGGGGTACACCCTGGACAGGTCGCCAATCCATCGCAGGGCTAACACATAGACGAACAACCACACACACGCACACGTACTCCTATGGGCAATTTTGAGACACCAATCAACCTAAGCTGCATGTCTTTGGACCGTGGGAGGAAGCCGGAGTACCCAGAGAGAACCCACGCAAGCACAGGGAGAACATGCAAACTCCTGAAATATATATTAGAAGTAAATTAATAGTAGACCATACAATATTAAGAACCAAGCTGTTTATGTTGTGTAAAAATGAGACACACATAGTGTTTCTTTAAGCTTTGACTGTGCTTCTTATTTACTCCTGGCCGGGGACATCGCTGCTACAAAGTGGTCCCCTCCCCAACACACTGAAGTGATTAATGCCAAGTACTCCACAACAACCCAGTCAGAGAAATGAATGCAAAAAAGCATGCTGCATGCATAATAAAAAATAAAACAAATTTGACCAATATCAATGATAAAGCACCAGAAAAATGTTAGTTGTATTTAGCAATTTGTCATTGTTTTTCATTTTTCATTTGTTAATACTGACAAGCATCACATTTTGACTCTGGCAGGGGTGGCACTAGGGGTGGCCAATCAGATTCTTGAGGTGGCCACCCCCTTGACTCCACCCATGCAATCTGCCCAGTAGTTGGCCAGACAGTTCACTCAGATGTACAAATTTCAACAACTTAGTGGCATTATCAGGAAAATGTGATCAGTAAAGTCATTACATTTCATCCTCTGGGAACTAGAGTGTATAAAATTGTGTGCCACTTCATCCAGTAGATCTTAATTGTGCCACTGGATATAAGTGAAAACTTTGACCTGCCAGTGCTACCATATAATGGGAATAATCCCATAATTTTGAGATGTTTCATTAAAAATCATAAGCATAAAACTAATGGTGGTGCTAGAGGAAAATCCATGGGTAACGTAAATGTGTAGGCTTCATCTTTTGAGGACTATGAGTGTCTGTACAAAATGTCTTGGCATTCCATGCAATAATTATTGAGCTTTTTCAGTTTGACCAAAGTGGCGGACACACCCACGAACAGACAGACACTGTCATCAACAGAGCTACGCTGCTAGCCAAGCAACAATACAACAGTTAGATGGTAAAATGAGTTTACTTAAATTAAACCTCTTATTCATTTCTGTACAAAATACTGTCAACATAAAATGGCCTGGTGCTGTTTTTATACTGTCTGTGCTTTAAAGAGATTAACACTAAACATTATGTAACTGAAAGTGTCAACATAACAAATAGAGTAGCTCCCTCCTACAAAGTGTGTATGTGCCTTTGTATTACTTACATTATGGGAACTGAAACTTGTTAACACACTCACATTATGGGTACTCAGCCTTGACCAGAGGCTGGTCCGCACAAGGAAGGCGGGGAATTTTAGTGTGGCAACATGTTTTAAGGTAAGGGTCAGGGTTAGGGTTAAGCAAGTAGTGGTTATGGTTAAGGTTTGGATAAGTCTATAGGTAATGAATGTAAGTCAATGAATGTAAGTAAAACCCTCACAAAGAATGAAAACACAGTGTGTGTGTGTGTGTGTGTGTGTGTGTGTGTGTGTGTGTGCTACACTATATAAGGGATGATAGTCTCTTAAAATAGGTTGACAAAGTGACACCTAATGTAACCATGGTTACCAAGTATGAGGTAGAGGCAGGATGAGAGCAGAGAGGGTGAACCTGTAGAGAAAACATATGGGTAATCTGGCTTAGTACAGCTAATGCACTAGAGATATTTTCACTGTCATATGATGTATGTGTGCATACTGTAAATCTGTGTTTGAACCAATAAAGCTGCACAGATTCTTAGAGCAGAAAGTGTTAAGATTAAAATTACAGCTAATAAATAACATGGTTTCATGTACAGGTTCCTGTAACTGTATTCATGCCTA